CTAGTGTCTGCCAGGTGGTAGCGCACCGATATTTGGTGAATTTGAGATTTCCAAATAAGCCCATGAAATTCAATATTTGTTTATTATTAGGACAATTTAAACTAATATCATTTTTGGTTCTTGGTTCTTGTTCACTAGATAAAATTATCCTCAAATACATTTTTTTGTTTTTTTTGAATAAAGAATAAATATATTGTAATAAATTATATATTCTTCAGTATAAATTATTAATTGAAATAAATTGAATGTAAATTTTGTTTTAATTACTTTATAATAATAAAATTATGCTTGATGTTGAAAATTCTTCTTTGAAAAACAATTGAAAAAAGAAGTAAGAAAATTAAGAAAAATATTCTTTTATGTGAAATGGTATAATAAAAAATTTTTAAAATGTTGAAATCTTTTATAACTTATCTTACCTAAAAATATCGTTATATAATGTATCATAAATCTTTCTTGATCAATTACATAAATTGAATCTAACTTTTTAGGATATAAAATTTCTCCATGCTTTAGATTCTTGATATTCACAGATCAGCTAGAAATGTAGTAATAGCCTTACTAAAGAAAGTGATTAAATTTATTCAAAGATTCCTTTAAAATATGTATGATATTTTTTAATAATAATCAATTTTATTGCAATTCTTTAAAGTTTTCTAAAATCAAGCCTCCTTTAGATTTGAATAAGGGTTTTAAATCCTAACCTGAATAATTTTCAAATATTCCTTTCATAATTAACGCTTTTGAAGCTTCCAAAATAGGATTTTGACATATTCGCAGTATTGTACGATCAATCTCAGCTAAAGAAGAATATTAATACATCATATTGTTTAAAATTGACTGATTTTAAAGTGGCAATTTAAACAAAGAAAGAAGCTTTTGGCAACAATTATCTTGAGTTAGAAACTCTTTGGCTGTCTTAACGTCCCATAAACGGATAGAGTTATCTGAACTACCAGATGCTAATGTAGTTCCATCAGGAGAGTAACAAACTGAACTAACTGCACTTGAATGACCATCTAATTTGGCGTTTTAGTATCCTGTCTTAACATTCCATAAATGGATCGAGTTATCTCCACTACCAGATGCTAATGTAGTACCATCAGGAGAAAAATTGAGTGAAAATACATAGCCAGAATAACAATCTAATTTGGCTTTTTCTTATCCTGTCTTAACATCCCATAAACGGATAGACTTATCATAACTACCAGACGCTAATGTAATACCATCAGGAGAGAAACAAATTGAATTCACTACATATTAATGACCATCTAATTTGGCTTTTTATTTTCCTGTCTTAACATCCCATAAACGGATAGA